AGCTGCGCATTCCTATTCCATAAAGGAAAAAAAAAATCTTTTGTATTTAGGCTTCCAGTATGGAAGAAATGTATTTGAAATACATGAATGAAGTTGTGTTCTCTGTTTTGAAAGCCACAGATGTTTGCCTTTGAAGTAGATTTATTGTGCAAAAGATGTATTCTTCTTTGATCTGGATGGTCCAGCAAATCTGATATGGATTTATTGTTATATTGAATTAAATAGTTATTAATTTGTTCATATGGCAAACCTCATGAATACTGGGGTCAGCTTCTAATTAGTCTATGTGCAACAGAATTTAATTTGTGCTACAGCTTTTACCTTTTCTTGTGTCTTGGGGGAAAATATGATATGTCACATTGATGCAGTATTAGGTGTTCAATGTATCAGCTGAGGAAAAGCAGACAAACCATCCTCTGTAAGCTTCGTTAAGTAATCTAGAAAGGGTATTAGTCTTTTCACAGCTATTATGCAGCATCAAAATTCATAGACAGAAGGTGCCACTTGGCACCCACAGCTTGTGTTTGGGTTTGAGCAGGTGAAAGGGTGTTGCCTGATGCAAGTACTTGCAAATTTTACTTCCTGCTGCCTTACTGTACCATATTTGAATTGCTGAGTGCAAGCTGATAGCCTTGGAGTAGAAAGAATTGCTCATTTGTTTTCCTGCATTATAGGATGTGTAAAACTGATAAGAATAACATGGTGCTCCAAATTGTTTTGATTATGAAGGTAAAGCCCACCAACTACATATGGATTGTTCTGTCAACACAGCAGATGGAAAAAGCATCAATTTAAGCTAAATTCATTTGATGCAAGTGTTGTATGTAGTTGTCACCTATTAGCAATGCTTATGGTGAAAGAAGTGGCTCCTTTGAAATGATCAGAAATCACACGGAATCAGAGTAGCTACTTCAGAAACATTTTCTTCATGAAGAGTTATGATGAAAGAAAATACTGCATTTCTCTGGTGCAGGGCTTCTCCCAACAGGACTGGGGAAACAGAAAACAACTACGTTGTGAAGCTGTTCCTATTTAGTGTTTATTCTTCCCCATTTTCATATTGCTCTTCCAGCCTTACTTCATCACTGCATACATTTTCTCTTCTGCCTGTTTCAGAAGCCTATTAAGATTTACATACTGTCAAAAGCAGAAACAGGCAATTCTTGAAAATACCGACTGCAGTGAATATAATCATCATCATCAGAGGTTGCTGCAGGTCTGCCGTGATTTGGAAACTGTCCATACTACTGCAGATATAGTTAAGGAAAAGGTACACATTGTTGTCAGAGTCCAGTAATAACGTTCAAATTGTTAATACAGCTTAGTTAGTCACTATTCTTTGTAAAATTCAGAGTGGCAGCAAATATTTCCATTTTCCAGACTTTTCTGAATTAAGGGGAATGCTGTTCTGTCTCTAGAAGTAAGATTGTTATTGATCTTTTTTTTTTCCCAATTACATGTACATATATACATAATGTGCACACACACGTGTGTATGCATCTTATGCAGAAATTATTTTTTCTGTCTTCAGTAGAAATGTATAGACAGATCTTTTTGTCACTTCTAAGTTTTATCATTTCTCCTTCATTTAAGAAATACTTGGGTTTCTTTAGAGCTTGAAACTACTTTTTACTGAGCATCTGTCTTGTAGAACTGCTTTGTTCAGTTCTGCAACTTTCACATAACTGTTCTTTGCTCTAAGTGCATATGAGCACATTTAACAGCTGTCTTCTTCATCAGAGCAAGAGATATAGAGTAAGTGTAAATGGGGAGAGCTGGGAAGTGACCTCTCATCTATAAGCTGGGAGAAGTACAGGCAGTGGCAAGCTCTGGCTGCCCAGAAAATGGTGATGCTTAACTGCTCCCTTCTTTTTGAAAATTTGAGTTAATATGACGTGTGCCTCGCTCCCTTAGGAATGGCATGGGCCCATATTTATATTCAAGGCCATGCTGGATGTGGCTCTGGGCAGCCTGGTCCGGTGGTTGGTGACCCTGCACATAGCAGGGGGGTTGAAACTAGATGATCCTTGTCATCCTTTTCAACCCTAGCCATTCTATGATTCTATATGGGCTGTTGAAATAATTTCTTCCATGGAGCCGTCCTTGCAATTGGAGCTACTAGTGAGATTTTCAGAGCTATACATGGCATCTTGAATGTGCTCTTTTCTGCTTTATAGTACTAGGATAAGTAATGAGGAAAAGTTTTCCTTTCTGATGCAGTCAGTTTTAAGCAATCAAGTGAAATTGGTGGGAGCCTTTCACTCAATTTCAGTTAGTTATGAAAGCCAGTGATACTGTGCAGGGACTTGCTCATACCCTGCTTTGTCCCTCTGCACTTCACCCACTTCCATAACTTTGTCTCTTTCGGGGATAGTCTTGTATTTGTATAGTGTCATTCATTGTTTCCTTCAGTTCAGTGAAATGCTTTACTAGAGTATGGCTGTATTGTATAGGTGGCATCAACAAACTTCATTGAATGCAGAATTGTGACAGCCTATTTATCAGGCAGCAACATCAGACTATATAATCCTGGATAATTTCTTAACTTCACATGGAAGTAAATGGATTACACAGAGGTACATGGATTTAACTTTGCATGGGGCAGCTTCCCTGTGTTAATATAATGAGTGAGAAACTAAGTCGACTTTTCAATAGGTAAATAATAAGATCTACCATTTTGAATAGAAAGGTCAGAAGCAGCTTTCTTGAGATGTTCGTGTTTTTCTAGATCTCAGGCAAGAATATAGCATGTTTTTAGGAAGGTTCATGAAATTGGCAGCAACAAAATCTTTTAAATATCTACTCAGATTTCTAAACTCTGTTTTAATGAAGCTGGAAAAGAAAGCATGCACTACAAATTCAGTTGTATTAAAATATCTGAAATATGATCTGGTAGATGGCTCTTCCGACAGTTAATGTTTCTAGCAATTTCTTGAGTAAGGGGCAAACACATTGTATCTGTGTTGAAATAACCTCTAAAGATAATGCAATCATTTCCATGTGTCATGTCGTAGAAGATACTCAGCATTTGCTGTGAGAGTCACATCTGTATCTCCAGGGAGACACCTCGTTGTCTTTGGCAGACTGGTACAGGAGAGTGATAGGCTCGGACACAGGGAGAAGCTAAATACAGTTCATGAAGTTAGATGAATATTGCAGCATCACATGTGACAAGTTTTGGAAAGAGCTTCTCTAAGAGCCAAAAAAATGCTTATGTTTCTCTGCTTTCCACAGACAACTAAAGAAATTATTAACAATTTAAAAGCTTGTATGTACCTTTATGTCATATCTTCCATATAACATAAGGAAAGAAAACAAGATGAGTTGTATTAGGAAGCATTTAGTTTTATTAACTTTCAAGTGGAAGTTTAATGAACTTACATCTTGAAACAAGATGATATAAAGCATGCACATCCTTAAAGAGACTTACACTGTGACATTTGCAGTATTAACATTCAGTTAAAGTATTTATTATTGTTTCTCAGAATGAGATGTTCATAGTAAATAAAGGAAAGCTTTGTTTTGGTCCAAGTAAAGCCCATGCTTTGGGCTTTGAATTTTCTGATTTTCAGAATGTTCAGTGGTGTTGAACACAGCCTAAAGTTAAAGGAAAAAAACCAAACAGACAACACAAGGTCATATATATTATCTGGATATTCTGTAGGAAGCAAAATTTGGTATCTATGATTCATTTTCATAACCCATTCTAGCTGCACTGAAGATGAGATCTACTCTCTGATCTACTCTCAGATCTATTATCTGAGGATTCAGATATTGGATTTGGGTCCTGTACCTGTACTACAGCAGCTGTAGATACACATCTGTCAGTTTTAAAAGCCTAGAATATTGTTCTTGCTCATATAGAAAGTATGTGCTTAGCTAGACCAATAATAGGGTGTTGAAAGCTTAACCTTGACTTAATCTCGAATGTTTTTCACAGGCTTAACTGAATTGTGGTATTTTTCTCCACAACAGCAACCCAATGGTGAGGAAAGGGTTTTACCTATGCATAAAATTGCATTTTTGTTACTTGTGGTCTATTTTCCATTAACTTTCTGTATAATCAATGAATATACAGATGTTAGAATTAAGAGATATCCAGGAAAGCTAGGCTAAGTAAGATTACTACAACAGGAACATAATAAATGGAAAATGCTTACCAATGTCATAGGCTTGCAACATTCTCCACAGGGAGCAATCTCTAGAAGAGACATTCCTCAGTGGCAGTCAGCACTTAAACGGGGTCTAGGAGAGGTGCAGCCAGGCTCCATGCCTTCCAGTAGCACAGGTGAATTAGCTTCACCTGTGCTCCGTGGCTGACTGATTGCTTGCCTCAGGTGGTCAATCAGGGGTTCAAGTGTGATTCAGCAGTTCCCATACACTTTCCAACAATATCACCATGATCTAAATCACTAAAACTGAAACTGTGTTCATTCTCTATGGTTGGCTGAACTGTTGCTGGGAAAACCCATTCTCTTTAGAGCTTTGTTTCCGCCACTAATTTTCTGGTAATATTTCTACAATCACTATTCTAGGAAGACCTTGAAGTGAAACTCTCCATCTTTCTTTTTTCTTATCCCCAGATGTCTTCCTGCTATAGTCTTTTTCCTTTTTGGCTCTGAATGTGCACAAAACTGCTGCTGGCCTTTTCTCAACTCTGTTTATGCAGAAAGACCACCAGTGTTCTTTTTATTTTCTCCAATAAATAGTTGAATTCTTAGAATACCAGTGGTTTTGGAGAGAGGGCAGTGCTGTGTGCTTGGTTTAAGTTGTAAAAGACAGCAGGAACAAAATCATTCTTAGCACTTGGAAAAATCCTGACCTCAATCTACTTTTCCCTAAATTTAAGTCAGCGTACCAAACCAGGAAACAGAACGTCTGCAGCGTAAATTCTGTGGAGTTAGAAATACCCAGTTCCTCAAGATTCTGCTTTTGCTATGATAGAAATCAACAGAGAAATAGCTACAGGTAATACACTTGCAAATTATAAATGTTTTTCTTCAGAAATTACTTTTTAAAAATGCGCTGAAGTCCTCCAGGTTAAGCTTGTAATACTGTTCATCCTTTTCAGAGGTGTATCTCCTGCCATCTAGTGATAAATGAGAGAGAAAGACAATTCAGAAAAATGGTTCCATCAGCAGCTGCATGCAGTCCAAAGCAACAGGTACAAATTTACCATATACATGAGGAAAACCAGACCTAGGCAGAGGAATGCTTGTGCAGCTCCTACCGAACATAGATGTTGACTTTAAAAGGCAAAGCACTGGCCCTCGCTTAGTTTCTCTGTATAGCATAGTCAGACAGATCATTTTACACTGCCCTTTTCAAACATCTGTACATTCTGCACAGTGCCTATAGGAAGTATAGATATAGAGAAGAAAGAATGGGAGAACTCAAATTACTTGGAAAAAAAAAATTTGGTCTGTAAACCTGATCAGCTTCATGGTTTGTTGTGGTTAGAACTAGAAGATGTCTGTCTTAAATGTCGGAGTTTCTTACTCTTCAAGTACCACTGTCACTTGTGTATTGTACAAGAGAGATAAAAAAATTCAGAATGTATCTCCCAAAATCATACAATGAGCGACAGTTACAACATCTACCACAATTACTTATTGATGACTCATTCTCATCTTCAGTATACAATGGTTTTGGTCAGTACTTTTTCTGGTGTGATTAGAAGAAGAGCCTTAGTCTGCACATTCTATTTAGATTGCAGATGAGGTCAACATATCCGTTTGTATGATTGTATCTTCTGGCTAATTTAGATTTGGAAAGAAGTGATGTGATCATGGAGCAGAAATTCCTTCTTGAGGGAATAATTCAGTGACTTAAATTAAAAACAAATTTACCTCAGATCTATTGTGCATGCATCTCTGAAATATTTTGATTTCACATCAAATCACTTCAAAATAACTCTAATAATATCTTAGCCTAGAATGAAACTCCTAAATTCAGACAGACAGAAATTCAGAAATTACAAATCATAGGGCACATAGCATTACAGCAAAAAACTCTTGGACCATCAATCCCTCTTTGAATTGTTCACTAAATACTGTACATATACTCTGGAAGTCAAAAGAGTAGATCAACGGCAGTCCTCAATCTCTAGAGCAAATGTCACCTGAGTAATATCTGAAGATACTGAGTAGGTGTGCTATATAGCCTCTCTTCTTCAAGTACCTCATTAATTCAAATGTCTTGTTTTTAAAGATATTTTTAGAAGGGCTGCCTACTCAGTGACATTCTGTTGGCAAACAGAAGCCAACTTCACAGTCCTCTCACTTATTACTCACAAGCATTTGTCTTTTTCTGGTTATTTAGTATAAAGAGATGATTGCTTACTGTGAAGATTCCTCTAAATTTCAGCAAAGCAAAACACCAATTTGCTAGCTGGCTTTAAAAGTAATCAGAATTGGTATTTAAAACCTTGTAATAAAATGCATCATTCGGTTTGCATGTAGAAAGGTAGATCACTGTTTATATTTGGGAGGTTGAATACAATCAGAAAGATCAACAGCATATTTCAGCCCAATGCCATCAAATTACCACAAAAATTAAGTATATTTTAATTCTGCAATTAGTACTGTGTGGTTTGTTCATGAGAGGCATTGTAAAATGAATATATATCTGAGTAAAATATGACACCATAAAAATCTGCTAAAACAACTTATGTATAATGCAAATACGCTTACAAGAAGTTTCTTATAGCAACTGCCCAATATAGGATATTGATCTGCGTAGTTTCATTTGTCATAGCTGACATGCCATAAGCAATCTGTTTAACATGCTTTGATTTTCAGTGACATTTGAAAAATCCATTAACAAATTTTTAACTTCTTAGTCCAAATCAGCATATAGCTTCATTGTCCACAGAACAGGTTTTGAATATAACTTACAGCGTCCTTTGAGATATAGAATTGATTGTGGGCCCCAATTTCTCACTATGGTTTTACCCTGTAAGTTATAGAAAGAAACTGGCTGTTATTTCACAAGAAGCAAATCCTCTTATACAATAAAGACACCTTTAACACTGTTTACCTTTGGAGCACACCCGATTTCAACAATAAGAAAAACCATGAAGATGACACAGGCAAAAAGCACAACAGCTTTAGTTTTCTGAAAGAAAACAAACGCAATATTAGCTATTTTTTTCTTTCCTTATGCAGTAAGCATAATGAAACAGTGACTATTATAAACATCTGCATGCATGCACTCTAAACTTCTTACCATTCTACCACGACTTCTGTCAGTCTCTTCTATCATCCAAATAGTCAATGATCTGCTTTGCTACTTTTTCACATACGAAGAGCTCAGTAGCTGACAATGATAAAATGTACAAATCTCAGTTCAGTCGGTCATGGTCCTTTACAGGTGCCTGTCTTGCAGGCAATAATGTATGTATGCAGATTCGTTGTGAGAATTAGGTAATTACCACCTTTTGTGATTAAGACTAGAAATTATGTCAGCCTCTTTTATACCAGAGTAGTTAATGACAGTTGGCCCCAGGAGATCTGGAAACAACCTGTACCTAAAAGCAAAACAAAAACAAAAAAAAACAACCACAAGTTGACTAAATGTCAAGCATTCTTAGTAGGTGGTGCATACATGAAACTGCAATATTCAGTCCTCTTTTCTACTACACAAAACAAGTAACTAACGTAGTTTTTTCTTTTTCCTGACTCTACTACCAATGTAATTTTTTGTCACATTCTTCCTGTTTTCATTTATTTTATAAGTTTTCTGATGTCATAGAATTCATGTATTTGTAAAAATTTTATTTTACTTTCATGATCTTCTCATTAGATCATGAATTTATTATTATTTTTGTTTTTACTCTTTTATTGTTCCCTAGCTCATTACATAGGAGTATGTCTTCAACTTTTTTGGTGTTCCTCTTTCAGGCCTTTACTCATTTGATTGCAAAAGCAATGACTGTATGCATTTATGTGATTACACTAACTGTAGTATTCACAAAGAAAGGGTTTTTTGGTTTTTTTTTCTGTTTAAAGTTTTTCTTTTTAAAATGATGTGGTGATGTAGGGGAAATGCAAGTCAAAGCTTGAACCAGTGATTGAGCACCTGGTGGGAAGGCAGGGCCAAAGCAGGGGAGCTCAGCTGCATGTAATGCAATGCACCTGTGTGACCAGAAGGGTGGGGGAGGGGAGCCAGGATCCACCCCTTCCCAGACCTCATTTAAGAGTTGGTGGTGGAGGCAGGTGGATCACTGAAGATTTTTGTCTGCTGGAGGCTGCCTTAGGGTAAGTAGTTGCTTTGTTTCTCTGTGCTGGCTGTTGTATTTGAGCAAGTCCTCACTCGTTGCAGCCTGTGACTTTGCTGCTCTGCTGTTATTGCTGTGTTTTCCATTGTGTTACAGCATTATATATGTAAGGAAGTAAAGATTAACTTTTTATCCTTGCAGATCTTTCTAAAATTAAAATGTGTTTCTACCACAAAATAAAAGGTTTTCTCTATATCTGTATATGAAAATCAAGCTAAGAACTATAGCAAAGTATTTTGCCAGAGTAAAATAAAACTAAAGTGCAAGGGAGATAAAGTATTTAAAAGATTCTTGCTTTTCTGTATTTGGTAACATTAGAAACACAGCTTGAAAGGATGAGATTTGAGTATGATTGCTCAAACGTGTGCACTTCTGTGTCATTGACTGCTGCCCTCTGGGCCTGGCTGTTCAATCAGTTTTTGATTCACCTCAGTCTGCTCATCCAGCCCATGCTCCAACAGCTTCCCTATGGGCATCTTTTGGGGCACGGCGTCAAAGGCCTTGCATAAGTCCAAAGAGATAATATCCTCTGGTCCCCACTCATACATTGGGTTGGTGATTTCATTACAGAGGTTTATCAAGGTGTGAGTTCCCCTTAGTGGATCCACGATGACTACTTCTAATGATTTTTGCTCTCCTGTGCCTGGAAACGGTTTTGGGAATGAGCTGTTCCATCACCTTCCCAAAGTTCAAAGTGAGGCTTCTGTAACTATAGAAAATAGAGTTGCTTCATTTTGTTTTATTTTCATATTTCGGGGGGAAAAAAGTACTGAAAGTTAGAGACCATACTGCAGAACAATTAAGGTCTAATTGTTAACATTCGACACCTTTTTATGATGCGAATGTGACAGGAACTTAGGAAATTTAAAAGAGGAAAAGTCACGTCCCCAGGTGAAAACTGTGGGTCATTTTGGCTAACTGTAATGATTTAGAATTCGGGGAGCTGGATTATAGGCAAGAAACATCACTGTGGCTGCTGAGCAGTTCTTTGGTAACAACAAAACCTGAGGGTGATATTTTATAAACAAGTCCTTGAAGGGATGAAGTCTGGCATCCGACTTTGCTATGTTGTGGGTGATTAAAAAAAAAAAAAAGTTGCAGGTGGCTTTTTGTGTATGCTGCTACTTCTTATGAGAGAGATAATGTCAACTCGGAAGCAGGTGTTACTTGTGTTCTCCAGAAACACTGGAGAGTATTTTGCATAAATTTACTGTGAGCTGGATCATTAAAACTAGAGACAATTCAGAGCTGTGGAGATTAACTCTCTTTTAACCCAAACCGCTTTCTCAAACCGGGAAAGTATTTACTCTGTCCATATTCTACTTTGCTATATGTTGAATCAAAATGAGGCAAAATCAACTTTCCTATTCATTCTGGCTAGACTCAGACCCCACTTAAGCTAGCAAGATTTTCTCTGGTATCAGTTCTGATGAAGGCCTCTGATTTGCAAACTGTATTGGTTGTATTGGCTGTCATGGTTTTCCCTGAAGGCTTGTCTTTATGAAGTATCATGTTGGCTAAGATATTGGGTTTTAGAATAGACTTTTGACATTCATGGCTGTGGAGAAGATGGTAAAGTATGATTTGGTGTGTTTTCTTTACATGAAGGATCTAGAATACCTTGCCAAGTCTATTTCTTTTTAGTTTGCTTTTTTGTAAGCGTAATTCATGTTTGCAGTGGCTGCAACAATACTTTGATTACAGTTGGCAATAAACCACTTTATTTGATCTCTAGGCTACCATATCCTGAAAATAGGATAGTTTGTGATTTCTTCTTCATTAACTATCTCTTCCTTACTGTTTAGCCATGCACTACACTTTTCTTTGTCCTTCTCTGTAAGCACAGAGAATGCTTTCTCTGCTTGTTCAAATCTTCTTTGCTAGATTTGAACTCTTTTTCACTGCAACCACCTTGATAATCATATCTGCATGATGAACAAATATGAATTTACACACACATGTGCCCACCTGATCAAGATTTTAGACACTTACGTTGTATGAATACCTTTCCCTCGTTTGTGCAAATTTGCTCCTGAGGATTTATTACAATGCCTGTTAATATTTACTTGCAACTGTTTTCCTGTGTATGAGCAGGCAGAGGTCTCACTGCCATAGTGTTCAGCCCTTTAAATGCTTCAGTGAGGTACTGCAGAAAGTCTCCTCTCCTTGATGAAGGGTCTTTAATAGGTGTCCTTCTTTACCACAGGTCCTTTCATCCTCCTTTGCAAGCTCTAAACAAGTTTCCCACTTGCTTCCTCCTGAGTTGCAGGAGGGGATAGAGACTGTTGTTACAGTCTCCTTTTTTCTTTCCTGTCTTTTCTGAAGTAAACAAAAGGAATCTGTAGCAATTTGACCAAGGAAACTTCCATAATGTCGTTTCAGTGATTGCTTTGATCATTTATTAATAATTTAATCTTATTCACATCCACACATTAATGATAACTGTAAAAGAGACTTGGCAGGTTTTTCCCCTGTTCCTGTGCACAAATCATTTTTTCCCTTTTTCAGTTTATTCTTCTTTCTTAGGGCTGAATTGACTGGATTTTGATTATCTGTATAGTAAATACAAAAGGGACATCAGGTATGTTATGATAAAGGAAGATGGAACTTTCTAGATTGGTTTCTGTGAACTAGCTATTTCAGAACATCTGTATTGTGGTGACCATTCAGGACAGTAAGCACTCTAATGGCACTAATAATGTAACACAATATGAAATGTATTCACTGCTCTGAAGAAAGATGTGGCATTTGTCTATTCTGAATATATTAGCATATAATATATGCTGATTTATGACCTGAGGGCACCCATAGCCCCTTTAATCTCTGTCAGAAATGTCACATTTTGAATGAACTCAGCAAAGCTATAAGCTACATGAAAAATATTAAACCATCTTGAGTTTGTATGGCCATAATGAGGAATAATAAATAGACAGCTCTGCCCATTTGGATTTTGCATTCATCTGCTTGTGGCGCTGATTTCTAGGGGCTTATTCCTCCATAGCACACTGCAGGGCTGTGCCAAAATCATTGGACTGAGAAGCAAATCTAATTGACTTATGAGGAACAGATGTCTCTGAACAGCATTTCATTGCACTATGCGGATGAAACTTTAGTACCACAGGAAGTCAAGATTTGTTCAGTGTTGAGCCCAGAGTGCAGAGCCCAACACCTCCTTAGGCTGCTTTCAATACCTGGGGGAACACTTTACCTAGGAGGAGCTTTTCAGCTGAAGCTCTCACACAGGCATTTGCTAAATCTGTGTTGCTGTCATTGCAAAGCCTGCTTGACACTGACTTTGAAATGCATTTATCTCACTTTGTCTCAGACTGCTTCAGCCCTCCAAGATTATCTGGCAGTGTGGACTGTTAGCTGAACCTAGTTATCATCACTGTACCTGCTCTGCCTCTCTTTCTTAGATATTACAAAATTTTGCCCTTTTTGGTGTGGAAACTGCATCTCTCTACCTTCTTGTCATCCTTAGCTCCCAGCTGCTTTCATGGGAAAGTTAGCTTCACTCCTGATTTGCTGGAAAGCTGCAACGTGACAGGACTGAGAATTTTAACTGCACTTCACCCTTAGAGCGTTCCCATATGACAGAAAAATTAATCCTTCTTATTAATGGTCTGCTACTTTGCTACATAGGAAAGTGCTTATACAGACTGGATGCCAGCTGTAGCAAATTGACTTGATGGGTCAGGAGATTGGTGCTTTCTGCAGTCCTTGAAAGTAAATCCTTTAACCTTACTGTACTGGTTTGCCTGCTTATTGTCCAGTACTAGTGTCTACTCTATACTGACCTGTCCAAAAGTAGTTTATTCATGCTACAACTGGCAAATCAGCCTGGTTGTTCAAACTCAAATGCTGGACACCACATGTAATCTATTTTCCCTCTGTTCAGTTGTATAGAAGCCACTGCATTCTTACCTCTTCTACAGGAAGAGGCATGGATTTATTTTAATACTTAAAATTCTTGATTTATGGGTCAGTGAGTCTGGAGGAGGGGAAAAACAGCAAAGTTCGAAGATCATTAAATTTTACCAAAGAAAAAATATGATTAGGTAGAAACAGTATATGTGAACTCTTAAAGAACAGGAGGGGAAAAAAAAATGCAGAAAGCCTTGTGGAAAAGGAGACTAGCTGCTGTCCTGTTGTATGCTTAAGTGAGAATCTTCTTGTGCCAAGCAAAAAAGAAAGTGCTGTGAGGCAGGGTAGTGTAATTTGTTTTGTGGCTTTCTTCCCATTCCCCCCCCCC